GTGGTGGTGGTGGTGGTGGTGGTGGTTGTCGAGGTAGTCGTGGTTGTAGTGGCTGACGTTGTAGCGGTTGGGGTCGTGGTTGTTGTTGTTGTCGTTGTCGTCGTCGTGGTAGTCGTGGTGGTGGTGGTGGTTGTGGACGTTGACAGCGTAGTTAACGTAGTTGTAGTTGTAGTAGATGGCGTCGTTGTAGTTGTCGTGGAGGTTTCCGTGGAGGTAGTAGTCGAGGACGAAGTGGTAGTAGGAGAAGTGGTCGAAGAGGTGACGGATGAAGTGGTCGAAGAGCTGGTCGAAGAGATAGTTGGAGATATGGTCGGAGAGCCTGTGGACGAGCTACTGGTGGAGCTTGTATTTGGAGTCGTGGTACTCTGTAGAGTAGTTAGACGTCTGTATCGATCCCCTTGGTTTCTTCAACACTTACACTGGTCGTGCTTGACGTCTGTGAGATGGTGGCAGGGCTTTCTGACGATCGTGCACTTGTCGTTGTCGTCGTGCTATAAGAAGATGTTGAGGTATAGGTGTGAGGCTACAGTAAAGTGTTGTTAGGAAGGCCAGTCCTCAAAGACGCAAATTTTGTCCTGTGCTGAATACAACTCACAGATGTGTACACGGGATGGTCATGGCTGCTGCGAGAGTTTGTCCTTGTCGAACCCTTTGTTGAGCCAGTCCAGGCTCCCCTCGTACTAGAGGCACTCTCATCACCCTTGGCTGTCGAGCTTCGCCATGGTTCCCAGGTATGAGGATGCGAGGACGTGCCCCCTTCGTGGGTCAGGCTTCGCGAGACTGGTGCTGAAGGCCGAGTCGTCCATTCGGACCAGTCCTTAGAGGTATCGCAAGGGCAAATGTAATGAACGGACGTCACGACCTTGGTCACTGTGGTCTCAGGATCAGCCCAGCTGCTCCATGCCTGGGCAGATCCTGGACCAAAGAGAAGCAGAGGAAGCAGGTAACGAACGTGTGCAAGCATTCTTGCAATTGGAAAAAGAATGGACGCCAGACAGACCGTCAGAGACGCGATGCCAACAGAAGAAAGACGGTAGTTCCTAGGAAGCAGCGAACGTTCAGAGTCTTGATGGATTTATCGAGGACAGGATTTGTTTAGACTCTGATCCACTCGTGTCTGGTCTCGGCATGGCGAATTGTGGCCTGTAACCAATCCGATCTTGCGAGCATTGTGATGGCGCTCGCCTGCCCAGTGCCGATACCTAGGTAGCATCAAGAGCTCCAGTATCGCCTCACTCCGAGTACAAGTACAGCCATGGCTGTTACGGCTGGAACTCAACCTTGTGGCTGAAGATAGAACTCGGATCCTACATGCCTCGAGGCCTGGCGCAAAGGTGGCCAGCTCGAGGAACTTTGCCAGAACATCTGTGCGAGTATACGAGATGGATGAACGGTAGGGTCAACCACCGGCCCCCACCCGTGTTGCGCGCCATCATGCCATTGTTTGAGCGAGGTCAGACACAATCTCCTTCTTCCCATGATGGGCAAAGATGAACTCGGTACATGCTCATCTGACGTGCTTCTTGGTGAAGAAGTGGGTAAATGTAAAATGTCTCTCCGTAACGGGCATCGTTGAACGCAAAAAACCCATGGTCGAGGCTTGGGCGACAATCAATTCAGGAACCGTTCAGGGGCTAAAAACGCCACGTGGGGTAAATTGTCCTGGCTCCTGGCCCAGATTCGGCTCATTGACCCGACTCGCTTCGCAAGATTGGATGCTTCCGTTCGACCTTTTGTGGATGTGCTGAACGTCTCGTCGACCGAATCAGGCAGTGATCTAGGCTCTGTTTACTGTTTCTAGGTAAGTTTGCTGGTCGCAATCCGCCGAGACTTCGTGGCTTGAGGGGGGTATCTGATGCCAGCTTTTCTGAGAATTCTGACGCGTTGTTCAGTGGTGCGAGGGCTCTCGGGAAGAATCTTCGTGGTCCATTCTTCGTAAACCCTCGATGCTTCTCAATGTACCAGGAAGTTTGCTCTGCTTTGGACCTCTTCACAATGAACATGATGCTGCTTGTTTCGAAAGGGGTGGAAAATAAAGGCCAACATGTCTTCCCATGGGCAGCGGACCGAACTCAATGCACACCAATGAGAACTTGGAAGTAACGAGAAAATAAATGGGCGTCTTCGGTCCCCCCGAGGGTGTGGGACAGTCCAGCCGAGAAATCCATATTTGTACAACTGCTAATTATTTCAGCTTCCTAAAGAAACGCCTCCCGCTGCGCCAAGCCTTACCTCTATATTAAAGCGGAGATTTCAGCCTTGTCAGGTGACAAGATTCATGTGATCAAGCCTTTCCAGGTGACAAGATTCATGTGATCAAGCCTTTCATGATACATGAGTTCGGAATTCTCGTAGGAATAGAGAACAGCACCAATGCAATCAACCCTAACCCACAATGGGGCCAGGTTTTTGCAGAACCGATGCATGATGTTCGCTGGTTGTAGAGCAACCTCGAGCGACCGACTGCGATTCTACACCTGTGTCCCTGGAAGCGTGTTATCTAGTCATTGTGTGAAGGCAAGACCGAACGGGGGCAGGACCGAATGGGGGAGACGCGTGAGACAGTTGCACAGCAATGAAAATACCAAATGTGATTGATCGTGAATTGGTCTTCCTTTTAGAGATCTATGTTGACATCTCTTCTTAGCTTCCTAGGGAGGTTGAGCCCGAGACAAGCACAGCCAGTCCACATCTCAATTGTGCCCGGTGTAGAAAGCCATTTCTCACAACATGCAAAATCAAACTGCGCCTAGCACATGTCTGCCCACCTCCTCCGCCGGTTCAACTCTTCAATTAGCGCCCAGCCAATCTTTCTTCCCAATGCCAACTCCTTTCATCCTCAAGATATCATAGGCCGTAACAGCATGGAAGTAGAAATTCGGCACGGCAAATGCATTGACGTACGTTAGCCCATCAAGCTTCTTGCCCTGGAGCTCGATCTCGTGACCCGCTTCCTTGCCCTCAAAATCCTCCCGCTTGACCGCTTCAAGGAAGTCAATGGTCTTGGTGATCCGAGCTTGCAATTCGTCAAAGGTCTTCTCGTTGTCTTCCCACGGCACGTTCTGCACACCAGCGACGCGCACGGCGACGAATTTGGCGGTATTGGAACATGTCTGGATTTGGAAGGGGAGCATGTGCATGTCCGGAGCTATGCGAGCTTCGAGGAGCTCCGAGTGCGGGATACCTTTGGAATCGGCAAAGGCCTCTCCTTTCTTGAGGAGGCTGGAGAGATTGCGAAGCGTGCGGATCATGGCCACGACGGTGGTATCGTAGAGGTTGAGTGGCGCCATGGTGTTCGAGGTCAGGGAGAGGGAGGTGTGCCCGGTTGGCTTGGCTGACCTTTTAAGAGACTGTTCTGCAGATGGAGATACCGCTGGTTTCCTACTGTGCTGCGACGTGTTTAAATATGTAGGTCTCACTCGTGTATTTCCTGCTCCATCAAGGGCTTGAAACTGCGCCTAATCAGACGTTGATTTGTCAGCCGCACCAACCTTCCAGTGCTCTTTCCCAAACTTGGGGGACTTTTTCCATCTAAACATTTGGACCATCAGGCGTATGTTGCAGCCATTTCCACCGTTTATTGGTCGCAGTGGCCGCACCAGACAAATCGATCCTGCTCACGGAGCATACATTCCTCCGAGCAAATGAGAACGAGGCAACATTGCCGCGGCTATGTTTCAATGAAGCTGCCTCGTCTGCCTATGTGTGAATGGCCTTTGATGTTGAAGATCAGGCTATGATATGACAAGGCTGCGAGAGGCAGGATCAGTGGCAACACGTCTCACTCGAGGGTCTTTAGTCTTTCCTGGGGAAGCCTGGTCGTTATCAGTCGATGGCGTTGATGGCGTCATTCGTCAGTGTCTGATGATAAGCCGGTGTTTAGCCGGGAAGCCGTGGTCAGCCTGACTCGCTGCTCGCTTGAGTCCATCAGCCCTTTAGACGCAGTCACTCTGTATATTCCACCATCACGTCTATCACCACCTATTCTCTACCTCAGTATGAGACGATTACTGGTTCCATGTTCGTAATAGAAGCACCATGATCATAACGCACTCACCTACGCTACCACGACCGCAGAGATGGCACAAGCGCGCCAGGTCATCTTCCGCATCTTCTACAGCACCTCGTTCACCGCCGTCTTCCTAATTCTCATTGTTGTCGTTGCTGTCACCCCCGCCGATACGCTGTATGAGTCCTATAAGCGCCGGCGTCTAATCGACATCTTCCTCATTGCCGGCGACTATGTTGTTACGGCTCTATTGGCCATCCTGATCTATGCTTCGCGGCTGTACACAAATCGTTCGGTGCTTAAGGACATTCCGAAAACATATATGCCCATTGAAAAGGAGGACTTACCGGGACGACGAGTGCATAGGCTTATTCAGGAATGTCTGGAGAAGAGTGCGGTGATTGCATATCAAGCCCGACCGAGGAGTCGGAGGATTGAACATGACACCATTAATATCGGGACGAGGATGCTCGCTTTAACAAACACGCAGCCCGATACAGACCGCGATGCTGAGCCGAGTTGGGGGAAAGTGGCGCACCCTGGCTGGTCATCACCAGCTTCCCAGGAGTTGCCAGGACTCGAATATTGCACCGTCGTGGACGAGTTGATTGACCTGATCGAAGCCAAAGCCGTCAGCCTCGCTCCCATCGACCCGCACGCCCGGCCCGATCCAGATGGCACGCCAATGCCTGATCCGCGAGTCATTGATCAGCTCGCCCGGAGTGGAAACATGGGTATGAGAGCTTACCTCCAGTATCTTATCAATATTGGCGTCGTACTGGATAACTCTCTAACGGTGGCGTTTCTCGCGGCATACGAACGCGCCCGGTTTTCCTCCGAACCATTAAGCGATGAAGATTTCCAAAGCTTGATGCGCATGTTTGCCGAGTTACTCCGCAATATGAACCCGGTTGATGTTGAGCTGCTCGATCTCGAGGACGGCTCTGACCAGTCTTCTCAATTTGAAACTTCCAGCTTAATCCATCGGAAGCCATCCTATCGTTCTCGTCAACAAGCAGAAACCTCATCCATTCCGTCCACCTACTCAGCTTCCGGCTCCGTACGCCACCACAAACTTCCGCCACGCCGTATCTCGGAAGACTCAGCCCCTTCCCTCACTTCCACTGAACAAGACCACCACCATCTCGAGGACCACACATTGCCAGAATCGGGTACCGGAGCAGACGACCAACATGTTGAGAGACATCAGGACACGGATAATTCGCAATCTTTTAGCGCCGAACCTAGCCGAACTTCACGTTCTCGCTCGAGACAGAGACCTGGTCCTTCAACGACAGGGTCGAGCTCAAGGATGTTTTCCGCGGTGTCACGAATGAGCTCGCATTCTGATATTTCAAGAGCCGACTCTGGGCAATCGAACACTGGGTCTGTCGTACGTCACGATCTGACTCGACAGTCTTCCAGGACGTCGAGGAGAAGCAATAGAAGCGGGAACGGGTTTCCCGTTATCCGACTTACCGCGCAAGGGGAAGACGGCGACGCTCCGCATGGACTACCGTATCGAATCGAGCTCCCCACAGGGCGGTAGCCACCGAGGCGAAACAAGATCGAGGTTCGCTAGTATGTCACTCGAACATAACGATTTAATGATCTGGAATGCACGGTCCCCGAGGGTAACAACGGATCTGTTACCCAGTTTGCATGTAGTTGGACAGGGCCCTTTTTTTGGACAGACATGAACAAAAGCTAGATATAGATGTAATGTATATATATGTAAAAGGTAATCAACAGTCTTTACCCCTGCTGCTGCTACAGCGGTGCCCTTGACGATTGATTGACGATGAAGTCAACTGTCCCTCTACACTCTTAGTACACTTTAGAAATCACTTTCCTCACACAGGACCTTCAACTCGGCTCGACTCGACTCACCTTCTCAGCTACTGTCGAAAACGAATAGTGATAGATAGAAATGCATCGATCGACATTTCTGAGTGGAAAAGGGGGCGACGATGATTCTCGGGAAATAGATACATAGGTAAGTAGATAGATAGATCGAGAGAAGAATCGTCGCAATACCGAATGGGTCGAAGAAAAAGGACATGGACAGGAAGTGACGGATACCGTGGTGGATTCCTCAAAGTGAGAGAATCGCGAAATTATTGATTGTTAAATCACACACTGGTACTCGTTGGAGCATATCCATATCCAGCCCGTATCTATCCAGGACCAGACAAAGCTCGCATAATGGTATTTAAAAGACATAGGTAGACATAACTCAGGTGTCCAGCCACAGCGACATCTGCTCGTCTTCGTCTCTGACGGCTCCCCTCCCATTGAATCCTGGGAAGCACTTCAAAAGCTCATCCGCTTCATCCGGCGTCACGCTCTCCTCCAACATCTGCGTGGCCATGGCGACCGTCTCGTCGCTGATATATTTATCCACCACGAACCCCTCAGAGAAAGCGAGTCGTGTGAGCACCACCCGGTGTCTATGCACCCCACCATTGATTACCGACAGCTTTTCTGGCAGTTGGATGGCGGAGCCGTGGAGCTGCAAAAGGTGATAGAGAAGGAAAACGGTTTTATTGATCAGAGAGGCGTACAAAGTGTGCGTAGTTGGATGGAGCGAGTACATTGCCGAGACTTGGTCGTACAAGCTGCGGACAATGCGCGCGATGGCATTCGTGTCATTTGCGATAAGAAGGCTGCCGTGATGGGAGGGATCATCATGCGGATGTGGAGACGACGTTATTCCTATTTTAATGAGGAGGTCCATGGCTTCGATCCGTAGTTGGCAGAAATCCTGGGCCGTGTACCTAGCAACACCTTCATCGACATTGGGCGTTTCTCTAAGGAGAGAACAGATTCGACTCATCAACCAGTGTTCGACCTTTGATTGCGGGCCATCGACACAGATGCTGCCGAATGTGGAAGGGAGGATGCTTGTGGCAAGTAGTCGCAGCATGAGTGCTATATCAGATATTGGCTGCCAGGCGTTAAGCATCATCAGGATGAATTCGTGGTCCACAAGACGCCACAAAAGAGCAATCAGGTCTGGATCGTCTGACACAGCGTAGGCGACTGTGAGCATGAGCTCCAAGCAGCTCGTCCCATCAACCTCAGGGTTTAGAACCGATTGAGGCGTCTGGCGGATCTTACCATATGTCGTGTGATTCACTGGTGAGTGTTGAAAGCGTTTCTCGGCATTGATCGTGATGGTGGACTTCAGGACTGGGATCATGGCAGTAATAATGCCCGAGTCGATAAGGAGCATATCGAGATCGATGATCTGGCTTGCCATCTCTCGTAAGGTGGCAATCGGGCTATAGTATTGTTCTTTCAATGACTTGGACCACATATCTAGCAAGAGTTGAAGCAAGTCGGCGGTGAAGCGTTTCCCCCCGAGCTGAGCAATACCCTCCCATAAAGTCCCTGAGAATGTTTTGGACGGGTCCGAGGGAAAGGCGAATTTGAGCAAAGCCTCGAAGACTGGCTCCTTAGAGCTGGTGAGGCGATACTCGATGATAGATTGCAGGAACTTGAGGTTGTGTTCCGCTTGTTTGTCTTTCCGTACAATGGGGATAATGGGCTCTATAGATTGCAACGGATGCGGCGGAGGCGGCATCTCATTTTGGCTCGCAGTGCTGCTAGGCCTCAAAACAAGCGGCTTCACAGGACTTGGCCGGTCAGGTTTTCGCTTTCGCTTGCCTGCTGCCGTTGGTGTCGGCGGCTTGGAACGTCCCGCAGATTTCGAAGGCGACATGAGCATAATATCATCATCATTGAAACCGTCCCTGAGAGAGCTCGCGACGCCGCGCTTGGGAGTTGTCGTAAGGTCTGCATCCCTCTCCGCCTGTTTATCCTTCAAACGTTGCCTGAGGGTCTTGGTCTCCTGAAGGCCTTGATTGTGTTCTTGCTTGAGGAACTGGAATTGAGTGGTAATATTATGATTCTTTTCAGTCAAAGCGTTGAGGGCAGCAGTATGTTTTGCAGATTCTTCTTCCATTGACTTTTTCAGAGCGCCAATTTGTCGGTCGTAGACTTTGCTTTCTTTCTCAAAGTTCGCTCGAATGATAGATATCTCACCCTTTTGCATGGAGACTGTGTCTCTGACAGCTTGTAACTCCCGAGCAAGTTCTTCCCGTTCTCGGAGCAGTTCATCGACACGGCTGTGGGAAGTATCACGAGCAGCCGTGCCGGTTTGTCGCGACGGAGTGTCCAACGACATTTCGTCCAGTCTTGTTGCAGCCCCATGATTGAGACCATGTGCTGAAGCTGCCTCGAATGAAACTCTCTGATGTCCATCGTCCGCCTCGTCGACCGGTGGACGGGGGACAGCACCATGGGTTTGGCCATACCGTTGTTGGCGGAATTGTGCTCTCTGAGCAGTCTCGCTGAGTTGATTTCGACGTATAGGATAAGAATCTTGATATTCTACTGGGGTGGGCACGCCCTCTTCTCCAACCAGCTCAAAGCTATCATCGTCCTCGGTCGCATATCTCTGAATAGCTGGATGCGCACACGGGAACCGAGCATTGGATTGTGCAAGAGGTTGAATCTTCGACTGCGACAAATTTGTGGACCGGTGCGCAGTGAGAGGGACATGTTTGGATGCTTGCGTTCTCTGGGTCGATAGGATGGCATGGTATTCTAGTTGCTGTAAAGCGGACTCCGATAGATTGTCGAAATCATCGTCGTCGAAAAGATCGGTCTCGTCTTCGTTGTCGTCCATGCCACTCATGTTTGACCTCCATTGAGGAGCGCAATAGAACTAGAGAGTGACACAAATGGCATAAGTTCACGTGTCGAGGCTCTTGTTGTGCCTGGCAGTTGTGTGAAGGCACACAGCGTTCGATCAAAAACGCGGATTCGACGCGCGATAGCGAGGGGTATTGTTAGAGACGAGTGTCTCTAGTGGTTGTTTCAGTGTTAGCGAAGGGCGAAGTTGTGAAGGGTGCATTAGCGGGTGCGGATGAGCCTAGTGAGGATCACCAGCCAGTGACAAGCGCCCGGAACAATCACAACTCCGAGCATCATTTCTCAGGTTGTAATGCCTAGATTTAAGGGTCCTTGGGGCAGTGGCTCCAATGCCTGCAGCGGGGTTTTGCTGCATGACGCAAATCTAGCTCCAAGGAATAAGCTGGCCTACCTTGTTACCCTGTTTGCCTGTTCCAATTACTTTTTGGGGGCCCGACCTGGTCCCAAACTTGGTTGATTTGAGATCATCTTTCATTTACTGTCCTACAGTACATACTGATCTGTCACTCACCGTCGGCGTATCCTTTGCTTACTACTGATCTAGCAGAGACGCCTATCCATGCACAAACAAGAATAAGATCAAGACCTCCAGCTGCGATTAGTGTTGCTCCTGAAAAGCCCGTCTCAGGCAGCCAGCCATCAAGCACGTGTCAAGCGAGGCATCCCCTCTCCTTCTCATCCTGCGACTTCCATCTTCAACCAGCGCATCACCCCTGACGCAGAAGGCACAGCATTCTTCCTGCGGCTCTTCCACGCCGCGCACAAGGAGCTATGCCCCGGCAAAAGGGCGTCAAGTTCCAGCATCGGTCGAACAGCAATGGCAACGGCAACGGCAACGGCAATGGTAATGGAAACCACCACCGTCGACAAAGCTCTTCCGCTACTAGCGACTCTGCCTCTGAACCCCCGAGCCCTCAGAGAGATCACCACAACAGCAGCACTAATGGAAATATTGTGAAGGGCGAAAAGCCAGATCAAGCGTCCGAGTACGAGAAAAAGAAGCAGACTTTTATAACACGGACAATATGGACACTGGCGATGATAGGTGGTTTTTTCGGCGCAATGTTTGCGGGTCACGTCTATGTCCTAATGGTCATTACTGCTGTCCAGATCGTTTCCTTCAAGGAGGTGATCGCTATCGCGCAAGTTCCGACCAAGCAGAAGAATCTCCCTTTGACAACCTCTTTGAACTGGTACTTCTTGGCTATCACCATGTACTTCCTGTACGGCGAAAGCGTCATCTATTACTTCAAGCACATCCTGTTGGTGGATAAAGTCTTGCTGCCTTTTGCGACCCATCATAGGTTCATCAGCTTCATGATGTATATATTCGGTATGTGTCGAAGGTCTGGTGGTCCCGTGTTCCAATGCTTACCCTTTGATAGGATTCATGTCCTTTGTCGCCTCGCTGCGGAAAAACTATTATCGGTTTCAGTTCGCCCAGTTCGCCTGGACTCATATGGCACTCTATCTGATTGTCGTCCAAGCACACTTCATGATGAATAACGTCTTTGAAGGCATGATATGGTTCTTCCTTCCCGCGTCGTTGGTCATCACGAACGATATCTTTGCATACATCTGCGGCATCACCTTTGGCCGTACCCAACTTATCAGCCTCTCGCCTAAGAAAACTGTCGAGGGATTTGTTGGAGCTTGGATCTGCACAATCTTCTTCGGCTTTGCGCTCACCAACATCCTGATGCGCTACAAATATTTCATTTGTCCCGTCAACGATCTCGGTGCAAATATCTTTACTGGTCTCGAATGCGACCCCAATCCGGTTTTCAAAGCCTACCCGTACAACATCAAAGACTGGACTGGCTTCGACTACACATTCTGGATCGCCCCTATACAGTTCCATATTCTTGTCTTTGCATCATTCGCTTCGCTGATCGCTCCCTTTGGAGGTTTCTTCGCCTCGGGACTGAAGCGAACCCTTAAGATCAAAGATTTTGGCGACAGTATCCCGGGTCACGGAGGTATGACTGATCGCATGGACTGTCAATTCATCATGGGTTTGTTTGCCTACATGTACTACCAGAGCTTCATTGCTGTGTATAAGACGTCAGTGGGCGGTGTGCTCGAGACCGCCATTATGGGCCTCACCCCCGAAGAGCAGGTGGAACTTGTGAGGAGACTGGGGTGGTACTTACAAGGCCAGGGCATTATCTCGGATAAGGTAAGTTATGAACGTCTAGTCTTCTGGCTCGCTTGACTGACACAATCGTCTCTAGATTGGACAATGCTTGGACCTGGCTCTTCCCAAGAGATGAAGACGACGGAGCGACAAGACATGGTTCTTTTCTAATTCTTTCCATCGTGAACCCTGAAAACTGCCGAAAGCGTCGCAAGCCATTGTATCTGGACTAAGCATAGCGGTGGAGTCCGGGCCCTGGTTTGTGTATGTGTGCGTGTGTCGGAAATGACGGGGCCTCGGAATTTTTGCATTGATGTCTCCATCTTTTAATGGGAGATTATGATGGCTTTGGGTTTGCATGTCGATCGCAGACCAGATAAAACTTGTTCTATCTTCTCGCTGGCCGATTGGGCACTGATTTGCAGAGTCCCGGGAAAGGTCTGAATTGGACGAGATCCGGACCTTGATGTAAAATTGTGAAGTGCTGTTAATGTTTGTTGACGATTCGGTATCTTTGGGCATCGGGGATATGATCGTCACGATGCATATCCCATAGAGACACGCGCAATATAGCACGTCAAAAAGCGAATTCACCTCAACCCTGTCCTCTTCCTCTCCCACGACCGTGCCCTCTTCCGCCACCCCTTCCCTGTCCACCGCCCACTCGTCCACGATCACCTCCTCCCCTTCCACCGGTACCGTGACCAGCTTGCCCACCCCGACTACCACGCTGTCCACCACCCTGCTGATGTTGTTGCTGTTGTTGTTGCTGCTGTTGTTCTCTCGCGAATTCGATGACTTCTTCTGGAACTCGGAGATATTTGATCTAGGTTGAATAGTCAGTTGACAGAACATGTGATCCACAAAGCACCTCTTGATGGTCAGGGAGAGCTGGCGCAGAGCTCAAGCTACAGCTGGGGCACGCAACCCATCGGATAGAGCATAGCAAGACACATTGCGACAGTCGCACAAACGGAAAATCAAGACGCACATTATTTCCCCTCACATAACATTCTGGGAGTCTCCAGAATCTGTCTCCTTCCGGACTCGTCTGCACGACTTCCTTGAGCGTCAGGTTCATCCACGTGTCGCAGTTTACTAGATGGCCATTGAGAGTTTCGCCGTTCTTCAGTTCCACTAGCATGGGGTGGCCTTGTGCTGCCGTCAGGAGTCCGAGGGGCAGCATTGTTGTCACGAGTTCCACCGGACTGAATTCTCCTTTGATCCGTCTTCAACTTGCGCCCAGATGTTTTGCGATATGGCGCTTTTCGAGGCCGGCTGTAAGAAGCGGGCGACGGTGGCTGTGGTTTTTGGGGTTATTAGTGGGTGGTCAATAGGGTGATGGTTTATTTTGATACACTACGCCTCATTGGCAGCAAGAGGAAGAACCTGGAACCATGACTCTGATTCTTGGCGTCATGGTTTACATAAGCGCGACCGTCACGTGGTAAGGCACGTGAGTGGCAGGTGGTTAATTGCAGAAACAGTTGCGCAGATTATGACAAGCAGTTGTAGAAATCCACCCAGTTCTCGATAGGACGACAATACAGACAACAAAAGCCGACATCAGAGGGCCACAGCCTCGAGCACGACGACGATTAGTTTTACTGGCCCGCCAGCATTGTGAACCCATGTCTCCCCCCTAATCCCACGCGTCAGACTCGGAGCCGGAGGGTCGACGTGGCCGAGATGTCGTCGGGGCTGTGCACCGTGCCCGTCTCCGATGGAGCAGCCAAACCTCGAAACGCCCAAGTGGCGTCTGGCGCCGCCATCCGCTTCCTCTTCTTCTACTTCTACTCTTTCGTCAGGCCCAACCTCAGGCTCAGGCTCCAGCCAAAAAAACGAAACATTGCCAGTCTATCCTGTATTCACGCCCACCGTCCGCTCTTTTCCTCTTCGATTCTTGATCCTCATCCGCGACACACTTCAGGCATCTGAATATGGAGTTGTGAGGCAAAAAAGTGAGCTGTTTGCTCCCATTTTCTAGTGGGGAATGCCATACAATTTGAACAATACTCTGTACAATTGGACCTCGAGTGTTTGATTCCCGGCTATAGTCCCACTCATTCGAATCGTCTGTCGCCCTGTTTCAATCTCTGGGCTGAAGATGAGGTCTTCATTCTTTCGCGGGGCTACTTTGTTTTCTGTGCTGGCGTCGGCATCTGCGTTTCCTGCTTCGTCGTCTGGTGCATCTCCAAAGGACATAACGACTGTTGCTGGTACAACAGGTAGTGGACATCACTCTCACGATCCGGCTGTTAGCTGACCAGCCAATAGACCCTGGTCATCTATCCATACACTTCTACGCTCCCTGCCACGAATGTTTCGATGATGCAAAGGATGGAGTGGTACGTCGGATGGACTTGGTCCCGTCTTTGGCTGTAGTTATTGACCTTGGTGTTCACAGGAGCTGACCCTCGAGATCGACTCTGCGGAAGAGGAGTGCTCTGATACTCCCCCGCGCTTGAATGGACATTCTCTCATTCCGTCGAGAGCTGGCAATGATGTTGCCAATGGTCAGATTTCCTTTATTTCAAAGTCTTCAGATGGCTTAGCCGAGCGCGAGGTCAATGCTTCTTGGGAGTCAACCTGTTTGAAGGGCGAAGCCTCGATAATTTCCGTTCGATTTGAGAGCATCGTCGGAAATCATCCCTTCAAAGACACTTCTGGATTTGCCACCTCCTTCAAGCAAAAAGGGCAACCTTCTGTCTTGCGTCTTCAAGACAAACCCGTTGCTCGCATATCAGAAAGCCTCTGTGATGATTGGCTCCTATCAGAGGATCGAAGACTTTCTATCACTCCCAATGCCTCGAACCTTGCCTCGTCCTCTGACACCTCATTACAGGCCGAGTATTCCCAGCTCGAAGAGTTGATCAGTGAAATGGGAACACTTCACGAACAAATACGCGCAACGGAGACAAAGATTATTTCTCTTCTCAAGCAAGAGTTCAAAGCTTGCTCAAGCATGAAATGCTTGTGGAATACCGCCATGAGTGAAGCCCCAACCATTGCCAAACTCATTAGTTCTCACTTTTCGCACCATAGCAATCGACATGGTGGTTGTCGAGATGGCGATGCACAGTCACCCTGTTCTGCGGATGACCAAGATAACCTTGCGCTCGGCGACAGTCTACATGAAGGCGAAGCAGAAGAAGTGTCTGCTGCAGTCGAAGGCGACGAATCTGCACAAGTGTCTCAGACGCCAGCGGCGGCTCCAGTTACTACACCTTCACCAACTCCTCCACCAGAACCGACTTCCCCTCCAAATGAACAAAATGACCATCGGCCCCATTTTCCATTCATGGGTGGAGATCATCCTCCATTTCGACCACCTCACGGTCCGCCTCCAGGATTTCATTTCCCTGGGGGACATCATGGTCCGCCTGGCGGCTTCGGCCCTCATGGCCACCCTCACGGTCCACCACCACACTTCCCATCTTTTGCGCCTGCAGAACGGCGTCTCCTGGAATACCGCATTGGATTGGCGATCCTTCTTCTTGTTCTACTTGTTATACTGGCCGGCTTGGTCATCCGTGCCATAGTCCTGTTCCGGGATCCTCGACGACGGGCTGAGCGCGCAGCCCGATGGGAAGAGCGTCGAACCAAGAGACTTTACCGCAAAGCTGCGTGCAAGCATAGATGGAGAACTTGGTGGAAAAGCTTCCTAAACCAGGACACCAGCGACTACGAGGAGAAGCGCGAGATGCTACTTGACCAAGAAGTCGTTATAGAAGAAGAGGACGGCGGATTGCAGAAGGAAATCCGTACGCTTCGAAATGCGTCCGATTTCGTCAGAGATCTATTTTATGCTGAAGAAGGCCGAGCAAGATCGGGGTATCGTGGCCATCGTGATCGGGACGGGTTCGAACCTGCGGAACTCGATGCTGGCATCGGGAGCAGCGGACTTTCCGATATCGCCCCATCTTACGTGACACCTCCACCTCGATATGAAGAAGAGCTCGAAGGAGAAATGGTCGTTGTCGAAGACTTTCGATACACACCCAGCAACACGGATGACACACCAGCGAGCAGCGTTATTGATTGCAGTCCAAGACTGAGTTTGGAGACTGGACGATCAACTATTGTCACAAAAGATACGAATGAGTAGCAACTGCCAGGCGCTCACGTTTTGGAAGAGTCCATTATCAAGGATATTCAGCTATGATGTGCGACACCTGATATGATTATGTCTGGTGTGGATCGCACACTTTTCTTTTGTGTCTCGGATCTTTCACAATATGTATGATACAGCTGGGGAGGTACGGCGTCGTTGCATTGAAGGGACATGGTATAGGGGGACATTGGAGATTTCCGTCCTGCGGTCATTCACCTCACGGGTTATAATCCAAGGATATGGTCATGGTCACCTGTGAGTGAGCCCGATTCTCGGGATGGGAGAAGACGAAATAGTCGATTTTATGAAATTACTCCTAAGCAGACTCCACTTTTTCCTTATATTAATCAGGATATGTCGTAGGATCACGCTCCGAAAGTGAACAGGTCATAGGTACGAGGTATATTGAGACCAATCCACAAGTTCTGGGTGCCGAAGTGCCTGAGGGTACGGAGTTCGACCAGTAGCCGTGCACGACTTTGACTGGCTCCAGGAGCTTTCGATCGCTCTACATACCTTTGAAGAACCCGTTTGTCAATCGTCCCTGTGTACGTCGCTCCGAAGAATTGCCCCTTTCTCTCGTACAAGCGACCACACAGGTCGACCCTTTTGTTTCTCCTTTTTCACGACGAAGTTGTCGCAATGTCGACAATCAGCTTCGCCAACTGATCCGGGGCCGTCGTGTTGGGGCAGTGACCCGTGTCGAGCGTGTGGACATCGACGTCCCTCCCGCTCTCGCGCTGGATCATGTCGATGTAACCCCGCTGCAGGTCCGGGGGGACGATCATGTCGTTGGCGCACATGATAAAGGAGACGGGCACGTGCTTGTAGCCCGGGTAGGTGACCTTGCTGGCGAAGCTGAGGGCCGAGTGGCGGGACATGGTCTTGACGACGGCGACGGCCTTGTCGAAGTCGAGATCCGGGAAGGTCGCTTTGGCGATGGTCTCGATGCCCACGAGTCTCAGGAATCCGTCCTACAAGGACCAAGGAACGCCATGGGTTTCCCCTGGTTAGTAAATTCTCTTTTAGCGTAGGGAGAAAAGTTGAAGGAGGTCTCTCCGGTTGGATCGGGTCGACTCGACCACCACCATGCATCTTTAATCACTGAATTGTGATTGACTTACCTTTCCAGTCTCGACCATTTCAGCCGGCGCTCCTCCTACAAGCTCTGTCAAGGAGCGACCTGCTTCAGGGACATGGGCGGAGAGATACACGATCCTGACAACACCCCCTGGTTGTCCGCGCTCTTGTCGCTCGACTTTGCCCACACCCTTGAGAGATTCCGTCCCCACGACTCCGCCGTAGGAATGTGCCACGACCACGATGTCTTTCCCCCGGTCCGCCAGTTTCTCGAAGATGCCTCGGAAGAAGGTCGCGTCGTCTTCGAGGGTTGCGGGCTCTTCTGGGGGATTACGACTTGTCGACGGGAGGTTGTTGACGAAGACCGCGTCGGAGGAGCCATCGGTCAGCGTTTGGATCTTGTCGACGACTTCGTAGTACATGGACGCTGGGGAAAAGGATCCTGGGATGATGACGATGGAAGGGTAAGAGGGAGCCATTTTTCTGTCACAAAAAGAAAACGAAAAAGAGAAGGGGGGTGAGCTGTGACTTGTCTGATCGTCTCTGTGTGTGGGATGTTTGATGCAATGATGGTATGTAGTTAGACCAGGGAGTCTGTTCTTTGCTTATTGTACTTGCAGTCAACCCAAGAGTGTTGTTGCGTCAGCGACTGCCCGAAGGCCTTTTAGAGAGACGGATATCACAACCCAGGATATTTGTAACACCCTTTCACCTTGCGATGAGATGGTTCAGACAAGTGTTGCTTCCACTCGTGGTCCGCCGTGTGTTCGTCCGCTCCAGCAAGTTTCTATCGACCGAGAATCTACCAAGTATAGACCGCAAGTGTGTGAGTTAGCCCCCTTGGGTGACTTTGTCATACGCTTGGCTCGACATGTATAGGTATCCTTGCGTATGACAGGACTCTGTCAGTGTAACACGGCGCGTCTGGCCTTGCAGGCTTGGCTCTGGTTAATGAGAGGATCTCGCAAAGAATTGGATGTGACGGCCCCCAAACCACTTTGTCGATCTCTGCTGATCCATCATAGGAAACGAACAATAGAAATGAGTTTACATTGCTACCTCGGCCTTACGTGGCCAAGGTGTCATATGTAGCCGCGGTTATGAATTCAGAGAGCAAGTGTGTATTTTGTGACTGAGATGCTTGTTGCTGGTTGATTGGAAATCACTCCCTCGCGATCTTGGATCTGGACGTCATGCAGTGTTTTCGGTGCTGCGTTGCCAGGGGATGCAAGCCGGACATGGAGGCGGTTGATGAAGTACCCTTTCTCCTTCATGGTGTCAATGTACTTTTGCCTGCTTAGTCAAAGACAGTACACACGCTTTGCTCTATTCACGATGATCTCTTGTGCATACGTAAGTCGCCATAGTCTGTGGAAATTCCCTGAGGACGGATCAGTGGCCATGAAATTCATAACCGAGTACTTGTAAACGATGAAACTGCACTCCACATAAAATTTCTCGCCTCTATAGAGATTTCATGCACTAGACCTAAAAATGACATGAGACATTAAAGCGGCATCCACTGAAAATCGCGGCTTGCGCTGCTTTCGCCTACGAGCAATTGGCTGCAGCTGAACTTTTAACCCATTGCTGAAGCCTCATAACCCTCCGACGTCAGCGATGAACAGCCGATGCACAGGTCTTTGATCCATCATGGACTGAAGCAAAGCCTTTGCACCACTACCGCCCTCCGCGGTCGACCTCTGCATACCACTGCGACTCGACTCTTCCAACCTGCCGGCCAACTCAATGGGGGAACAGGCGAGTCGAACCAGGCAAGGAGGCCTGCTAAACCTCGAGAGTCCTCCTCCTCAACCTTGACATTGCTTGCAGACGCAAATTTTCAGGGGTTCCCCCATCTTGATCATGCCCAGGGGCGGCATACGGAGAAGGAGGAAGATCATGGCGTCTTCCGCAGTCAGGATCCGTCAGAGAGTCCGTCATCAACGGCTAGTTCAGGTGTTGCTATAGAAGAGGCTGGAGGGCAGACAAGTGAACACCATAACTCAGGGAATCATCCAGGTCGTGGGCACAACTACGCGAGGCCAGCGGGAGATTCAGGCGAGGAGGGACAGGGTAATCGAAACATACATGTGCATAGCACATCCGGACCTCTCGACGCGTCCTCAACTTTATTGGGCAACCATTCTTCAGGATCCCAACATGGACACGGGAAGCCAACATATCCCCAAAGGCCATACATGAGGAGACTGCGCAAGCCAAAGCGCTTCCGACAACTCTTGTCAGAGGCGAGGACGTCCGGCACGGAAAGCACCACAAGCATTGACTTGAACAGCGGCAGACCCAAGAAGACGTTGAATAGAAACGCATTGAGTACGGCGGTTCTTGAAGCAGAACTGCGGTGGATCGCGAAAAATACACCGCACCCACGAGCTGTGCGCAACATCCTACAAATCTTGATACAAGAGCGGAGAATCAAGCCCACACCTGAACACTATGAGGCACTGATCCTAGGGCAATGTTTCCCCGAGTACGGCTCCATCGAGAACGTCAACTTGATTCTGCAAGAAATGGAACGCGAATCTGTCCCCCTGGAAGTGCCCATTCTTCTCGCAGTATTGACGGTCCTCGCTGTACACCCCGATACACATCTCCGAGCATCGATTGTCTCGCGCCTTGCAAACCAGCAAATTCCCAACTCTGACGCCCATGCCTACCTGAATATCCTCTCTTTAATACGCGAGGGACAGTTAGAACTCGCGACCGTCGAACTCGAAAAGCTTACTCAGCGACCTTCGATCATCGGAGGAGGCAGGGACAGTACTTCCGTCCCGAAATGGCTTTGGACCATCTATATCCACGCAATCTGCGATCTGCGGCATGACTTTGACGCCCTCCTGCAGCTTCTGTACAGGCTCTCTGACTCGGGATTTCTCTTCCCACGGCCTACTTTGCTGCACTTGCTCCACCAGGCGAGTGAACATGGCGATTTACAAGTCACGAGATTTATCTGGTATGGATATGTGACGGGAATGCACATTATTCCTAACGAAGACATGTGCATGGCCGTTCTGCGACTTGCCGCAAAGGAGAAAGACATAAAGTTAGCCGAGTCGGTGGCCGTCGTACTGGAGAGTGTAGCGGGAAACAAGTCTACGGATCCGCCAGACCTGGTGGATCAAAGACCTCTGCCACGGCACGAGGTGATCAAGCTGACATTCGATTCGCCTGAGCTTCTGGGGCATGAGTCCGAGCCTGAATACCAGTACCAGAGGTCAAATTCTGTTCGTAAAGACAGTGGATGCAGTGATACCCAAGCTGTTGGGCCAAGCGTCGCGGAATCCACACAACACTCTTCCTCTCAATCTCAAGCTGACCTTGCAGTCGCTTTCTCAGCGCCACCTGCCCTGCCTAATCCGTCCGATCTACCTCCAAGGCCACGTCCTCTTCCTGCCGAAGCTCTGTCGCTACTTGCTGAGCTGGGAATCACGGGCTTTGAACCCACGACAGACTTGGTCACTGGCAGCAAACGTCTCAGCTTGCACAGTGGCAAACTCACATTACACGGCGGGAGAAACGGACGGAGGAGAAGAAGATCATTGAGAGGCAACATGTACCCGTTGTTTAGGGAAGAAGCCGGGCTTTCTGGTGCTCGGTTTGACCCACGGCTTGCACTGATGCAGGGATGGGATTGGAGAAAGAAATGATGTTTGCGGGAAAGAAGATTTGGGAGAGTGGTCACTCGCAATGCATGTGACGGTTTACGTGGGAGAAGTAGTGTGCTGATTCCTGCTGTACCTAAGCATGGCAGCATGGGTATATCCCTTGGTGGTCTTTTCATTTTGTGGTCATCAGGCTATCTGTATTGGATGCTCTAGTTGTGTGTCGATATTAGCGGATGTCTTTTGATGTTCTTGTATCAAAATTCGAGTTGCTGAACATGTTTCTCTTTCCAGTCGAGAACAGGTGTGCGTTTATAATACTATACCGTATTGCCCGTATGGCCGTATAGCTTCTGATCTATTCTATACCCCTTTTCATCCCTTCCCTTACTCTCTATCACCACCATTTTCATTTCTTTTCTTCCTTGTTCCGCCTCATGTATTACCGCATGACCTCATTACCTCGTGACCTTCCATCTCATTCATTCCTCGTCCCTCCCCCCTGATCCCCATCCTCCGCCTCAGGCAACATGACATCGACCAACCACGGCGCATTCACCGGCCTGTACCGGAGATTCATGATACTCGCGTTGACAAAGAGCGTCTCCGCGCCGAACTCGAGCCCGCGCGCGTCCACGGTCGTTGCGCACCTCTGCCGAATCTGCTCTTCGTATGGGTCGGGCTGGAGGAGTGTTTCGCCGCCGGGGACGTCCTGTTGCGGGTTCTGTGTCTTGTACATGTAGTAGCAGTTGGGGTTGTCCTTGGGGTGGTATGGCGGGTTGGGGAATTGTGAGGGTGAGATGGTTGAGTCTTGTTGGGTTTGTTGTCGCTGTCTCTGCTCGGTCATCGAGGAAGGAAATGAAACATCTTCGACATTGCTACGCCTGGTCGCAGACCCATTCTGTTTCTCTCCCCTGCCCTCTCTTTTCTCAGTCTCGGTCCCATCATCGTGCTCGTCACGACCGACATCACCCCCAGTTATAGACGTGTATCCTCCCTCTCCCCGAATCTCGATCCCAACACCACCCCCATCCTTCCCATCAAACCACCTCTTCCACACCGCCCCCCACGCCTCGTGAATATGCCCAAAGCAATGAATCCGCGGTCGACACCGCCCAACCGCCCTGCGGAGATGGTCACAGCCGACATTCTCCCCGTGATTCACACCGTCGGGCCCGGGAGCCCAGACCTTGTCCAAGATGCCCCTTGGGGGACCGTGGGTGACGACGATGTCGATTTCTCCGTGGTCGGGGACGGGGACTGGAGAGGGTGGTTCATGCTCGATACGATGTCCGTCCCCTTGACCTGCCTGTTCTCCATCTTCATCATCCCCCGTCTCCGGACCCTGACGCCGCGAACAGGGGTGATTAAACCTATCGACACCCCTCTCATACCCAAACGCCCAATTACAAAACTCTGGTTGCCACGCGCTCGCATACACGGTCAAGTGGGCGCCATTCCTCAGCGTAAACGCCGCGACCCCTTCCTCGAGATACCGAATCCCGGCATCCCTCGCCCTTTGACCGGTATACAACTCGCGGATGCGGTCGAGCGCGTCGTCCGCGTATGTGTCGTAATGGGCGTGCAGGCGCGGGAAGCGGGCGTAGTATCCCCTGTCGAGCGTGATGTCGTGGTTTCCCGGGACCACGATCTTGAGCGTCTCGGAGGGGGTGTTCCTGAGTAAGGTCGCGGCGGCTTCGTGCTGCGAAAGCGCCCCGTTCATCGTCAGGTCGCCGCAGTGAATGAGCACGTCGGCCGCGGGGAGCGGGGCCTGGAACGGCACCACCGCCGGCGCCGCCGGAGATGCTCCTTCACCTGGCTGCGAGGGTAGCTGGGCGTGCGTGTCCGATATGATCAGGATGCGGGTGGATATCATCTTCCGCTCTTTTCTTCTCGAGGTGGTCGCCATTCTGATGTGTCTCGGCTCTACCGGTGGCAAGAGAACACAGCAGAAAAAATCTAACACATAGATGATGTCCTTCGCGTCCGCGGTGCTATGGGAGTCCTCGTAGCGGGATGGTACCAAGGGAACAAATTATAGTTATCGCGACCTGCGGCGTAGAGGAGAGAACAGGTGAGTACACTTTTCTTAAGATATAGAGCAAGCTTGTACTTTTGATATCTTTGCACTCCACATGTTGCCATTTAGGTGGACGGCAATCGAATCGATACGAAACAAGAAACCGCTTTTACTGCGCATATGGAAAGTGAATATCGCAGATAGACAATTACTCCATCGTGTTCGGTACCTGGGAGCATTCCATCAAATTGAGATCCATCTTAAAAGGCCCTCGGCGGGCCATTCAGAAATTCAAGTGACAACGGCTGATATCCATCTCACCAAGAGACGGCATGCAAATGATCGAATCGAAACATCCCTGTCAAGACCCGCTGAATGGCCAAATCTGGAAATCCCCAACATCCTCTTCTAAAGTAGCAACGGCACAAATGAATGGTCAGCCCACTTGTAAGAGACCATCTGAGCCATCCTGGAACCACAATCGCTAATGATACACGCTCGAAGAAGAAGACTGGTAATACCTCCTAACCCGCATGTTCGACAATCTCACTGACCAAGGTGCCGTTCTTTATCACACTGCGTATCTGCTCAGGGAACGGCACTTCCTTGCTATCGTCTTCGGATTCATCCTTGGGAGGCAACACCGCATTGATGGCACTACATTTGCTGGTGAAAATCTCCGTGCCTAGACTTTGGTTTGACAAGTAGATCTGAGCTCCGTCCACCTGGTCGAGGAGAATGGTCGGTACCACTCCGTCAACCTGAATCTGAATCTTGGGTGCTTTGATCACGTCCAGGCTGGAGACCAGTGAGTCCACCAGTATTGAAAGACCTGTGCAGTTGTCGATAGAAATCGCGTTGGCCTTGCCGCTGACCTTGAGGACGCATTTATTGCATTTGGAGATTAGAATGCTGTGATTGAGTTCGGCCGGAATTTCAATGATTTCGCTCGGGAGATTTTCAAAGTTTTCGACAATCCACTTGTTCCCATCCAGTTCCTTCCGACCAGGCTTCTTAGACCTCATGCTGTCGGGTTTCTTATTGGGAACTGGAGACTTGCCACGTCCTGTAACGGACGTCTGGGATGCGGATCGATGTGGCACCGTGGAACTGCCTCGCAGTGCCGGGTTTTTGTGTGTCATTTCTGACTTGTCGACCTTCCTCAAGCCTGCCGTGACGGAAGAACCTTGATTGATCTGGTCGAAGACTGCAGACATGTCTCCGCCTTGTGAAGCAGCTCCCGATGGAGGTAGCGGGGGAGCTGGGGGGCCATCGTCGTCGAATTTCGGTAGAGGTGGTGGCGGTGGAGGAGGCGGAGGACCCCCAGCAGCTGTTGGTGCACTGGGGGCAGCCCCGCCGGACTGTATTTGCTTCAGGGCCTCGAGAGCATCAATGCCATCCTTGGTATTCCATGTGAGACCCGTGGGGAAATGCTCCTTCACGTATGCGGCAAGGGATCGAAAGACTTTGTAGTAAGCCTGGATATATTCGACATGTGACTTGTCCCTATCGAACCCTGTCAGCGACACGGACGGAGCAAACTGATCCAGCACCACTTACTTGTCCTTGTACTCTTTCAGAATCTTGTTCCCATCTGCGAGATCCTGTCAGTATCATGGCTTGCAGTTCGGAACGTGACACAGTCCGGAAACTTGTGCCCGAAGTGTGCTAGGTATAAGAGACAGCTTCCGGACTGGAAAGTCACTTACAATATTGAGCTCCTCCAAGTGTATCCGTCACGAAATCACCGGGTCTCTTCTCCACGATCCAGCCCAAGGCCACAATACCTTCTGAAACGGCACTGAGGTGGGTGAACAAAGGAGACGGGCGGTTGGCTTCTCGGATTTCGTCCACAGTTGAAGTATACCGGTGGAGTTCAGTCATCAACTCAGGAGGTTGTGGATCGGGCTTCTTTGCTTTCGCTGCGACGTGGAGGTATGTCCGTTCAGCTTCAAAGGCCGCCTTGACAGCCTTGGCTTGTTCTTCCACGAGACCACCGATCTTCTCACTAGCCTTGACAAAAGCCACAACATCCTCCTCGATGATCTGATTGAAGGCGTCTACCGATTTAGGCAAAGGTTCTGGAGGGGGCGTTGTCTGCTCCGGAGTACCAGCAGCGGACGGCGGAGAGAGAGCAAGGATAACTCCATTGCTTGAAGTGGCTCCTGGACCATCTATGGCTGTTGCGATGTCTTCAAGTCGTGAAGTGGCAGCTTCTAGTCTGGGCCAGGCAACGCAGTTAGCATGGGTTAGATCCATTGAGACCCTGACAGCTGGACGGGAGCGAAGCGAAGCTGGGACACAGAAAAGACCACACACCTCTTGATGAGAGTTGTTAGATTGTGCATAGTCCCTTGCGCCGCCATGGTGAAAGAGTGCACTAAATGATTTTATCCAAAGAATAGGTGGTTACGGATCTTACACAGGATAAGTTGTCGCGGAGTTGTAAGGCAAAGACGCTTCGGCCAAACATTGGTTAGTGAGCCGCAGTTTGCTATGGACGCCCTGCGTCACCGTACAAAATTCCGGTGGAGGACAAAGCATTATGACGCCATAACACTCTCCGCCTCCACAAGCAACAGGACGGATCAGTAGCATCTCACTTGGCCTCAAAAGACCTCCTACCCGCACCAGATCTCTCCACTCAGAAAACGGACAGCAGACAGCGGACATAAGCGATGCTGATCCACAGTATGGGATGGACTCGTTCCATGAGCTAATGTCATGACCAGCTAGGATCACTTCAAGATGAACTAATGCTCGTTGCTCACAGATTTGTTGAGATAGATTCCGGACTTTGGTGCCTTCGCCTACCTCTCCTACTGAGTACTCAGTCGCTCTCCGAACCCCCCTTTTGTCTCAACTCCGGCACACGATGTCTGCCGACTCGCAAACGATGATCGGGTGGGAAACCGCACAAGACGGTTTGGACAAGTTGACCAAATCCACCTGTCCAATTCCCGTACCGGGTGAGGGTGAAGTGCTTGTCCAAGTTCGTGCAGTGTCTCTGAATTATCGAGATACTGAAGGTACGCTGGACTTCAGAATTTTTTGCCTTCTGATGGCACCGGTGGAGAGGCACTCGCTCACCTTATCGTGTAGTGGCCATGGGCCTTTATACTCACCACAAAGCCGTTGGGGCGAGCTCAAAAGTCGTACCCTGCTCAGATATGTGCGGTATTGTGGTTGGGATCGGGAATTCCAAGCATGGCATATGGAATATCGGAGACCGTGTCTTGTCCATTTTCTGCCAGACACATCTCACCGGCCAGATCAAAGAGAAGGACATGGCCTTTGGTCTCGGGTTGCCTCTTGATGGTGTACTTCAGCAATATAGAGTCTTTCCAGCGACGGGCTTGGTCAAAGCACCTGATTACCTCAATGATGAGGAAGCATCCACTCTCCCTATTGCTGCAGTCACAGCATGGATGTCTATCAACGAAATGAGACCCATCAATCATCCAGGTGGGCACGGAGAAACGATTCTACTGCAAGGGACCGGTGGAGTTTCCATAAGTGGCCTACAAATAGCACATGCCGCCGGTGCAAAGAGTGAGTGGCTTCTATACCCATTTTCTTCGGATTCTGATCATCTCACAAGCAATTGTAACTTCCTCCTCGGATGCCAAACTTGCTCGGGCCAAGGCGTTGGGAGCGACATTCACGATCAACTATCGCAAGGATCCAGACTGGCAGAATACCGTGATGGACTTGACCGAGAACGAGGGTGCCGACATTATATTTGAGACGGGAGGCGCACATACCCTAAGGAAATCATTCGACTGTGTTGCATTTGGGGGTCTCATCGATTGCATTGGTTATCTAAGTGGGAAGCAAGACGAACCTACCGATCGCACCAATACCAACGTCCTTGCGTTGCGGCGCAATGTCACGCTGAAAGGAATCCTCAACGGGCCCAAGGACAGGTTTGAAGAAATGATGCGCTTCTACGTTGCGAAGAAGATCAGGCCTGTGGTCGACAAAATTTTCCCCTTTGACGAAGCCAAAGAAGCCTTCCAATATCTATTTGGAGGGGGACACTTTGGCAAGGTTGTTATACGGGTCAGTCCCTGAATGTGCTGGGGATTGAATCAAGCGCAGACGAGGACATTGTATTGTATGGCGCACTTTAGAGATTTTGCGAATTTCGCCTCTCGTCACCCACTTTACCTGGTTTCGCCTCTTCACGTCTCCTCCTTCTGCAAAATATTCAACGTGTGACTGGCCAATGATGTCTTTCCGCGCCATCCTCCACTGCCTGGGCAAGTTGGGCACCCTGGGATAGCCGATAGGCTAGGGTTTCCAAGCTCTAAGCGGCCACTCAAACAGTCCCGGGCCCGCGGCCGCTTTCAAACTGGCAACCAAAAGCATCATCCATGGTGGCTGGTGGTGGCACCAGTGGGCCACCGGCGGGGCTTGTGAGGCAAACAAAACATGGCACAAGACACCGTTTTATATCCCATCCCCAGACCTTCCCATATATCCTTGACCCACGAAGCCCCGTCGCTAAATAATATTTCCGGGATCGCGTATCATGTCAGAACCTTCGAGGGCTGAACGTCCTGGTCCGAACGCTGGGCAATCTTGCCGCGAATGTCGGCGTCGCAAAGGACGTTGCGATGGCAGGATGCCAGTGTGTTCCATCTGTCAACGCTACAATCGACACTGTCTGTATGACAAGCACAGCAGATCATCTTTGACGAGAAAGTCAGTGGCATACACTCTCCCTCGTGCCGCGCATTCCGTCAAGTTCGCTGGGACTAATGCATCCACAGGCACCTGACCGAGGTTGAAGAGCGACTGGAGAAAGCAGAAGCTCTATTGAGGACATTTTTTACAGAGACTGAATTGTCGCAAATGCTTGCTCATGGCATCACCAACAAACTGGA